TTCAACCATCCTACAGTATTGGTTTGTTCATACCACCATGGTACGTTTTTCATAACATAGGTATGCTCTTATTTCAATACCAGTCAATACCATATGGTATAGACTGGTAAAAAATGACTAAATTTTTTTTGTTCCAATAATATATCAAAGTGTATACCATTTTCGAGAGCACAATTAATCTGATCTAACTGTGCAAAAAAAAAAAAATTGACTGAAAACGAGTGAGAAAATCGTCCATTAAAGATTAAGGGGGAAAATTAAAGACTTTTCAGGAGAGAGAATGGGCTCTGATATAACAGATTCTTATTGGATTATGCATATTTATTGATCACAAGATTATTGACTGGATCCGCTCCCAAATTACTGCACCCTTAAGCATAATAAATAGGTAAACCCATGGTTGTCACGCTGGCCGGCGTGCCACTGGTTCAACCTGGTTCATCCTGTACCGGTCATAAAACCGACATGACACCACCGGTATGACCGACATGATCGATATACGAATCTCCAAATAAAATGATCTTATCTTAGTGAATTTAATTAATAAAAAGTAATTTATTATTTATTTTATGTGTTAAAAAGTTAAATGTTGATGTTATTTGTTGGATTCAAGTACAAATATTTAGGTATTGACGTTTAATGTTGTGTTTAAATATGAGAATTTATAAATTATTTATAATATTAACCGGCATGAACCGGCACAAACCGATATGTACCACCGGTTAAATCATTCCACTTGCTAAACCGGCACACTAGCATAAACCGGTTTGACAACCTTGGGTAAACCCCATTTCTGAATTAAATGTTGCCAACGAGTTCATTCGTTTACTATGCTATGTGCACCTGGCGCAATTAGTAAGGTATGAGAGTTCTCTAATTAACAAACTTGTTAATGATGATTACTTCTCTAACCTATTCTCATGCACATGCTTCCACTGCGACAACTTCAGAGTTCTCTAATTGATAACGCGACAACAATTTCTCCTTAAATTGAAATAATTTTAACTTAAGGATGAACACTCTTTGTGTTGCTATAAGGTAATCGCATGATTAAAAAAAATCCTTTTTCAACTGGAGCGCTAAGAGCACTCCAACAATTTAACCATTAATAGAATGCGGGGTTCGGACCCCAATCAAATCATAATACAACTTATAGTTTATAATAAAGTTCGGGGTTGCTAGAATGTGATCCCCCCAATGGTAGCATATGCCAAACGATGCCACATAATCTGCAACCACGTTGCCCTCTCTATAAATATGGGGGAATTGGATATGCCAATCCGTAGTAAGAAGCCTCTAGGATACTATAGTCATGAAATGAGGGTGTCAAATCTCCGAAGAATGTAACAGCTGAATCATCATTTTTTCGTTAGTTTGGAGGACTACTTCCCGATGCCCATGTCCATGTAAGAGTGGCAGCATCCTTCATGCTCTCCCTGACGAAAAATTGGAGGTCACTGAGCTTAAAGAAGCGGAACTTAGTTGTTGGCTCAATGGTTATCTTAAACTTACTTGGGCCTCTCCTTCCAAAAAGGGGTCAAGACCTTGATATACCATCATGTAGGTGACAAGCTGCTTCTTGTCAAAAGCAGGTTGCTCCTGAAGTCTAAATGTGTCGACAATGTCGACAACCTTACAGACTGGTTATCAACAACCTCATTGTCCTTGCCTCCTTCAGCAGAAGGGTTGGCACCTATGTCTATATTGAATGTGCCTTGAATAACCCACTTTCCATCAAATTCCCATAAAGCTCCATCCAAAAAATCCTTGTAGGTGAATGAGTCAGAGAGGAGATAATCACCGGTGATGAGATCTTGATAAACCAACATGATTGTTCTGCGGACTTCGCTCTCGATCGGATTGGAAGATGGAAGGAGTAGAAGTCATTGCAACTAAAAAAACAAGAGAGCCAGCAACTAAGTTCCTCCTCTCTAATCTCAGTGACCTCCTATTTTTTTCAAGGGAGAGCATGAAGGTATCAAAGATTACTGAAAAATAAAGAAAAACAAGGTTTTTAAAAGTGGTTTTCTCAATGTGACACTAGTCCATGGTGAGGATCTCCCTCACAAGTTATAGGATTTTCTTATTACTTGATACTCTTCTTTATATGTTACATGAGTATATAAAGGTTTGCCAACCTAACCCCAGTCGTGCCCTACAAAGGCTAATTACATATTGGTGCATTAATAATATAATAAACACTCTCCCTCAAATTGATGTTGGGTTACTAACATCAATTTGAAAGACAAGTACCAATGTCTACTTGAAGAAAAAGCCTATGCCAACAAATCTGTCGTCTGATCCTCTGACGACAGATGGCTTAACTGTATCATCCCTTTTGCAACCAGTTGTCGAATGTAATAACATGTACGTCTATCTGTATAATCTGATCATGATGAACTAGATTAATTGCTATCTAGATTACACTTGTATTATCTCCATAAATCCTCATAGGAAGCTTGCAGTCGATACCCAATTCTTGGAAGAGATGCTGCAACCAACCCATTTCATAACTGAGTTCTGACATAGATCTGTACTCTGCTTCTGTTAACTATTTAGAAACCTTATCCTACTTCTTACAGCGCCAAGTAATAAAGGACCTTCCAAATCTCACACAACATCCTGATGTAGACCGCCTAGTATTAAAGCAACCTACATAATATGCATCTGCGAACCCTTCCAACTCTAGCTTACCATCTGCGGGAAAAAACATATCCACATCCTATGCATGATTCAAATACCGAAGAATCCGATGCACTGCATTCAAATGAGCTGGTCTAGCGACTCCCATAAACTGACTCACATTAAGAACAATGATAGACCATTGATTGCACATGTTTTTACCCCTATTCTTGAGCCGTTTGAGATGTTGATTCTCGTGTTTGAAGCCGATTTCACGCTAGGTTGTGTGTTTATGTTATATTTCAAGGCTTGGAATTGGCATCGAGGCGAAAAAACGAGTTTCGGGACGAAAGGAGCACGTTTGAGTTGAAGTGTGCTGGAGGAGCAAAATACCCGGCCATGAGCAAAAATACCCGGCCGGGTATTAATCTGCGCAGACCGGTGAAAATCTCTTTTGGGAGTTTGAGAAGCAGAAGGGGGCCCGAACATTGACAATAAATCCCCGGTTGGGTATTCTTGACCTTGACCTGGGATTAATCCCCTATCCTCGACGGTGCATTTCAAGAATCCCCGATCGCCACCTAAAATACCCGACCGGGGATCGCGATTTACAGCTTCTTAAGGGAAAAGAAGGGCAAAGTTGAAGGGTTCCGAGTTTTAGAGAGAAAAGCGAACACCTAGAGAGAGAAAGTGATGAACCTAATTCTTCAAGCATCTTAGATCGATCTTCATTACCATTGGAGCCCGGCTTGAGCTTGGAGAAGTGCTGATTGATTGCCAGAAGCAGAATCTCATCCTTCACAGTATGGTTTCCGCATCTGAGCTAGATTTCCCGTCTCTCTCTATGGAGTAACTTTCACATTCACATGGGTATGAAGAACCCTAGATTTTAATGTTAGGTCTGATTATATGAACCCAAGTACGAATTCAGTGATATGATTATATTCAATTGAGGTTTGATTTATTGAATGGCATGAATCCTGATCAAATTCATGTTATTTCTGCTTTGACCTAGAAAGAGAATATCTGCCTAGGTTGATAGAGCACCATTGATTGAAGGTAGTGAATTGGCGACTTTAGTCGAGGAGTCAATTCACTATTCTGTACCGGATTTACTTCGTTAGAGGAGGTTTGGTTCGTTAGGGCCTTAATCTGTTTACTCCGGTGGAGGTTAGTCGCCCGCTGGGGACTCAGATTGAGAGGGTCTGGAGACCTTTAGTCGAGACTGCAGACTATTTAAGAACCTCCCGCAGTATAACTATCATTGAAATTTAACTTGGTAAATTACAATCTGGCTTAACTGCAGTCTAGGGGGAACCATATCCGGGTGACCTCTTTCAACTTGAAAACAACCTTTTAACTGCTTTGCTTGTTTGCTTGTTTGGACCTTCACTACACTTTCACTGCTAAATAATAAGAACGCACGGAGTAGTCATCACACTTAGGACCCAGGTTGACATTAAAAACCAAACCCGCTATACTACGTGATGACTTGATATATACACATATTTTTATCCACCATTCCTGTACCGTTTGAGGCTCATCTCTAGTGTTTTAGGCCGATTTCACGCTAGGTTGTTCTTGTTTGTGATATTTCAGGTCCTAGTACGTGAAAGAAGGTTTGGGCATAAGTTCGGAGTCGATTGGATGAAGTTGGGGCATTTGACAAAAAGCTGGAAATTCCACACGGGCAGACCTAAATTCCACACGGCCGTGAGGAATTCCATGACGCGGGCAAGCCACACTGCTGTGTATGGGACCCCTTGTGGCCGTGTGGAAAGTCCAGGGAGCTCACGCGGCCAGACTGGAAATCCACACGGCCGTGTGGTTTTGGCCGTGTAGCGTACCTGAAGCCACTTAAGTGAAACGCGATGTTTTGCACTTCCACACGGGCAGCTGGGGATTTCACACGGCCGTGTGGCCTGGCCTGTGTGATTGGGAAGAACTGGGTTTTATCCCAATTTTGGGTATTTTGAAGGGGGATTTGACTTTTTGGAGCAAGAACATAGTTTTAGAGAGAGAAAGTGCAAAGAACAAACCCTAGGAGCTATTTGTACTGGAATTCTCACCATTGAAGCCCAGATTGCATCCCCAGGAGTGAAGATCATCATCCTGGAGAAGATTATCCTCATTATTATGAGTATGACTACTCTGATTTCTGTTTTCCTCTCTCTCTCTATGGAGTAAAACTTTCTCTCACTTGGGTATGAAGAACCCTAGTTCCATGTGTTAGGAATCTTGTTTGTAATGACTTATGATTGTTATACTGATTGATTTTAATCGATTGATGCATGATTAATTGAGTCAATTTAAGTATGATCATCTTTTCTTGATTTCTGGTGCAACCTGAGATAGAGAGAATCTGATTAGTGGATTGATTATACGAGGATTAATCGATTTACTGCTTTGATCTCTCTGATCATGGCCTCTCGCCATTGAGGGTGTTGAATAGCTTCATGAAAACTTTTTGGCTCATCATGTTGAGTGACAGCAGCAAGGAACACACGATAGGTTGGAGTAGTGCGCGCATAAGAGACATGGGCCGACAGCGGGTAACGGACAGAGTCAGCAGCATGGACTGTGGTGTCGTAGTCACTCAAGTACTTGGGCCTTGAGCGCTCCCGATTGCTGCGACGAGGAGGCTCTCCCGCCGGTGTGGGCTCACCATGCGGATCAATCTGGGAGGAGGTGCTTGTCGGGCCGGTGTTGACGAGTGGGCTGACCACTTCATCCGGTCCAGTTGGGGAGAAGCCCATTTCTGGAGACAAGGGCGAAGAAGATCCTGGGCCCAACTCAATGGGTGTAGTTGGTGATTCTGAAGCAGCTGGACTGGGCATTGGGCCTGGCTGGTCGGGATCCATGAGCGGCATAGACGGAGACTCAGGAATCTCTGGGAAAACAAAATTTTCAGGCGGAACCCAGTGCAAGGCTTGCTAATCAGGAGACTGAAAAGGAAAATGGTCTTCGACAAAAAGTACATCTCGGGAGACAATGATCTTTTGACTGACAAGATCATAAAGCCGATATCCCTTCTAACTCGAGGGATACCCCAAAAATACACAAGCTCGCCCCCGGTCAGTGAACTTGGTCAAACCTCGATGATTGTCTTTGGCATAAACAAGGCACCCAAAAACACGTAGGTGGCGGTAGACTGCTGGTTTTCCAAAGAGAACATCGAACGGAGTCTTTCCAGTTGCGGTAGTAGGAAGCCTGTTGATCAGGTAGCAGCTGTTAAGACACATTCACCCCAAAACTGAATGGGGAGACCTGCATGAAATCGTAATGCACCTGCAGTGTCGAGTATGTGACGATGCTTCCTCTCTACCACTCCATTCTGTTGTGGAGTGTCTGTGCAACTGGTTTGAAAATGAATTCCGTGCTTAACATAGAACTCTTGCAGCGCAGTGGTCTGGAATTCTGTACCATTGTCGGTTTGAATCCGTCGAATGGTTTTGTTAACTGAGCTTTGACCATTTCGAAGAACATGAGCAAGTATTTGGTTACTTCTGACTTGAAACGAAGTAAATACACCCACACTGCTCGACTGTAGTCATCAACGATGGTGAGAAAATAATGAGCACCATCCAGTGACGGAACACTATAAGCACCCCACAGATCAAGATGAACAAGCTCAAAACAATCCGACGTCTTTATTAAACTTGGTGCAAAAAGAGTTCGAGTTTGCTTTGCACGTGAACATGAGTGACATAATTCCTCGCTAACAGGTAACGGAGGAGACAAAATACTAGATAATTGCACCATCTTGGACGAGGATGGGTGACCCAATCGTGAGTGCCAAGTTCTTGCCGAGACCCCTCTCTCACTAGCCGCCGCAAAAGCTTGACATTCTCGATGCTCGAAAAGACGTAAATAGTAGAGACCATCACGGAGAATCCCCTTCCCAATCACGGTCTTGGATCGTAAGTCCTGCAGAAGATAGAAATCATGGAGAAAGATCAAAGCAACATCGTTCTCCTTTGTGAGGCGACTTACGGACAAAAGATTGCAACGAAATTGAGGAACATGAAGCACCCTGTCTAGCTTCAATCCTGAGGAAAACTTGACAGATCCGACTTTGGCTACTGGTACATTAGTGCCATTGGGAATCTTAACTGGTCGATTGGATATATTACTAACAACATCATGCAATATTGATTCATCATAGGTTATGTGCTCATTGCACCCTGAGTCGATTAACCATTCTGAATTGGGCGAGCACATACCTGCCATGTTGGAAGATGGAGACTCCGCTGTTGCTTGGGTCGAAGTACCAGACTGGAAGAAGAAGGACTTCAGCTGCTCGAGCTGCTGCAGTGTGAAGCCCGCGACTGGACTTTCAGCTTCAACCTGCGAGGCTTTTGGTTGTCGGCCGTCTCGGGGACGACGTCGTCCCCCTTGGTTGTTTGCAACAGCTCCCGTTGTGCACTTGTCACGGCTGGGCCATCCGATTAGATCGTAACAAGTTTCTTTTAGATGGCCGAGCTTGCCGCAATGAGAGCACCTTGGGAGACTTCCTTCGCGGCCATCAGATTGGCTGGTGTTGCCACGATCTCCATCGCCTCGCATGTTGAAGGAGGCAACATCCACTTGTGGCCTGCGCTTTTGCGCTATGATTCTCTGTTGCTCATCAGAGGAGACGATATTGAAGGCTTCTAACAGACTTGGAGTAGGTTTCATAGTTAGGACTTGAGTACGAACAGTTCCGAAACTTTCGTCCAACCCCATTAAGAAGTCGAACAAACGAAAGCTTTCGTCCCTTTCTTTTGTGCGCCGTTCGAGGCCACACGTACAGAGACCACAAGTACACTTTGGAGACGGCAAAATTGACTGCGACTCTTCCCACAGTGACTGTGTGTAGAAAGATGACACACTGAGTTTCTCTTGCTGTAGGAGGCTGACAAGTCGCCGGATTACATATGCACGCGAAGCACTCCCTTGACCGAAGCGCTCCCTCAGATCCTTCCAAATCTCTTGTGCTGTCCGAGCATACCTGAAGCTGGCGCGAACCTCCTTGTCCATGGCTGTGCGAAGCCACCCCTTGACGATGGCGTCGCATCTGTTCCACGCCCGCAACTCTGGATCAGCATCTGGTTTGGGTACGGTACCGTCTACGAATCCAATTTTGGGTCTTCTTAAGGGGGAATCGACTTTTTGGAGCAAAAACAGAGTTTTAGAGAGAGAAAGTGAGAAGAACAAACCCTAGGAGCTATTTGGAGTGGATTTCTCACCATTGAAGCCCAGATTGCATCCCCAGGAGTGAAGATCATCATCTCGGAGCAGATTATCCTCATTATTATGAGTATGACTACTCTGATTTATGTTTTCCTCTCTCTCTATGGAGTAGAACTTTCTCTCACTTGGGTATGAAGAACCCTAGTTCCATGTGTTAGGAATCTTTTTTGTAATGAATTGGGATTGTTATACAGATTGATTTTAATCGATTGATGCATGATTAATTGAGTCAATTGAAGTCTGATAATCTTTTCTTGATTTATGCTGCAACCTGAGATAGATAGAATCTGATTAGGTTGTTAGAGCTTCATCAATCGGTAGTGGTAGATTGATTATACGAGATTTGATCGATTTACTGCTTTGTACTGGAATCCAATTCCAGTAGCGGAGTTCTGCGTTCATAGCCTCAGCTTTCTATTCCGGACTGAGAGGGCTTGGTCAGCTTAAGAGATTCCAAGATACTGACGGATCTTCTGCAGTTTAATCAACAGTTAATCAATCCAGGGTAATCACAACTGTGACCTAACTAAGGAGCTAGGGGGACTCGTTTCCGAGTGACTCTTCCCTTGCTTTAGAAAACCGAACCATTTCCTACTTTCTTACTACTTTTAGTTAAAATCACAATCACTCGACTTAGTTTGCTAGATAATTGATATTCGCGGAGTAGGCAGTAGATCTAGACCCCGGGTTGACAATTAGATTTTGCATGTTACTACATTTCCGGACTGCGATTGCACTTGGTCGCAGTTTGGTGTTGTGTTTTAGCTTGTCACTACACTTTAGGAGGTGGTTACACTTGGCCATTTTCTAGAGTGACGGTAGAAGCTAGGCAGACAACATAAGCAATATTAGGGCGAGTATGTATAAGATAAATTAAGCTCCCAACAATGCTCATGTAGAAAGTCTGATCATCTAGTGGTTCCCCACTATCTCTATTCAACTTCAGATTCTGTTCCATAGGAGTGGAACATAGTCAACAATCACTATAATGTGTTGTCTCTATATGATCCTGAATATACTTACGCCGACTGAAAAATAATCCTTTATCTAACCGACTGATCTCCAAACTCTGAACAAAGCCAGCGTGCAAAATAGTACTATGAAACTGGTCAAACCAAGATCAACGAGCCTGCTTCAACCCATAAAGCGAACGGTGAAGCCTGCAGATCACATCTCGCCCCCTTTTTCATACCTAGGAGGACATTCCATGTAAATGGTCTCCTTCAAATCACCACGTAGAAAGGCATTTTTGACATCGAACTGTAGTATCGACCATATGTTCAGAGTTGCAACAACAAAGATGCTATGAACTATTTGCATTCGAACCACAAGAGAAAACGTCTCATCATAATCAATATCAAACTCTTGTCAAAAACCTTGTGCTAACACGTGCCTTAAATCTCTCAACTGATCCATCAGGATGCATCTTTATATTATATACCCATCAACTGCCAATAACCAATATGTCAGGAATACGTTGAACAACATCCCACGTATGATTAGCCTCTAGGCATCAATCTCAACCTTCATCGTTGCATCACATTGCGGATGACCAACAAAATGATAATGACTAGGAATGGGAATGGGTTCTGCAGAAAAATCAACATAATCTTGTAGGCGTAGAGGAGGTTGAGAAAGTGTAGTACGCTGAGGACGATGAAGGACATGTTGAAAAACATGTGGGGTGGAGAAGAAGCCAAAGACTGATGATTGATGGAAGAGGAAGAAGAAGACGCCGAGCTGCCTGATCCAGCCATATGTGCTGCCCTCCCTAGATGTGCTCAGTGAGGTGAGCTAGAAAGAGCTGGGAGGAGTAGTAGGGGGGAGAAGGATGATCATACTAGTCTAGAGTGATAGGAGGTGTGACTGGCAGCAACATAGACCAAAACTTGGGAAAGGACGCCAAAAGTCCAATATGGGTAGATGACCTTCAATGAAACTGAGTAAAACATGACCTATTCCTGAAACACCACATGGCTGGAAATGCGCATATGACATTCCCTTGGGTCATAGCACAAATAACCCTTGTGACGATCAGTATATCCCGGAAAAGCACAACAAGTAGTTTTGGACTCAAATTTATGACGATATTTCTTGGTAAGAAGAACAAAGCACACACAACCGAAAACTCACAGCCATTCAAAATTTGGTTGTTTAGAATAGAGACAAAATTAAGGAGACCGATCATGCAGAGTAGATTTAATATGTCGATTAATCAAATAGACAGCAACATTAATCGCCTCTACCCAAAAACTAGTGGGAACCTGAGACTGCATCAGAAGAGCAAGAGTAAGCTCAAGTACATGACGATGTCGACGTGCCACTAGTGTATTCTGTTGTGACCCGAGACACGATTGTTGAGAAATAATGCCATGGTCCTGATAGCATAATACAACTGAATTCTCCTCCAGGGCCAGATCAAATAATGTTAATTGTCTTGCCAAATTGAGTGTGAATTAATCGCATAAAAGCCATATCATGTTCACTTAACTCTGATTTATGAAGCAAAAATAAATCCAGGCATACCGCGTCGCATGATCAGTAAACAAAGCGAAGAACCGGTAACTCTTACGAGACTTAAATGGTGAAGGACCCCAGATATCAGTGGGAATCAAATCAAAAGGAGAATCATACACAGTAGCACTCGAGCCAAAAGAGGACTGGGAAGTCTTCGCCTCAATACAGTTACCACAGGGAGAGGATAAGTAAAGCAATAACCTAAAGAGCCGGGCAATAAATTTCGTCGAAACATAGTAAGAAGACGAGCATTATGAAGACGACCAAGCCGACGATGACATAAATCCGAAACGGAGGTTCATACATTAAAATCCAAATTTTCTTGAGGTCGAACAGAATAGGCCAATGAATCACAAGAATCAACAGGAGAATTCAAACATAATTCTTCATGAAAAATAAACTGAGTATCACAAAAAAAATTCCTCTACATTAAAGCCAGAAGAGGAGCAGCTAGCCGCATCTTGGTCCACTGGAAAACACAAATGCTCCTGCAAAACCGAGTTGGATCCTCCATATTCTTGAAGAACAAAGACACGAACATCCTTTCTACCCTTGCCAAGTACCTTCCCCATTATAGGATCCTACACAATACAACCCTATTATCGAACTTAACCTCACATCCTTCATCTATAAACTGACCAACCGAAACAAGCTGTCGGACGAAGTTAGGAACTAATAATGTATTGGGAAGACAAATATTCCCAGTAGAAACCGTGACAATACCATCAGTAGGAAGCTTAGCCCCATTAGCCACTTGTAAAGACGACTTTAACCCGGAATTCAAAGTCACGAAATGAGAAGGATTATTAGACATATGATTGAATGCAGCATAATCAAGTAACCAAAGAAAACCAGTACCTTTCACCCCACCTGTAGCAAAAAGCGAAGTTAAGAGAACGAGGAAAAGCCTCCTATAAAGCTTTCGCAACTAGACAACACACCTCTATAGAAGTAAAGCCGGAGGAGGGCAGACCAGGTTGTGAACCAGCAGCAGGAGTCGAGGTCCAAAAGAAGAGGAAGGCTTGTTCTGACGTACCACAGACTTGCGGTCAAAGATAATATGCCCAGGCTGCTTACAGTAGCTGCAAATGTTTGTTTCTTGTAGGGAGGCTAAATATGATCCACCTCCTTACATTAATGGCATGTTAGATGACTCATACTTTTTTTCCTGGTGAAATTGAGGACGAGTGGACACTGAGCGGCCAACAGAAAAGGCAACATCAGAAGAATGATCAAGCTTGGAAAGACTGCAGAGACGTGTCTCTTCCCAAATTAACTTGTCAAGAGCAGCATCAATAAGTATCCACATTACGATGAAGAAGGGAGGCTCTAATGGCCTCAAGCTCATGACGTAACTTCATAAGAAACTGCATAAGACAAGAACGATTCCTATCCCAAAGAATGGCAGCAGTAGGAGCCTCGGAAGCAAATCACATAGCAAGCTTATCTTGCTCAGACCAAAGGGTGATAAAGTGCTGATAATAAGAACGAACTTCCATGTCACTTTGATGAAAGAGAGAAAGTTCTTTATCAAGCTCAACCTAGCGAGAAGCATTATTCTGTGAATGAAGACAACCAATATGCGCCCACATCTCATGATCAAAGGCAAAGTGATGAAGGCTAAGACAAGTAGCGACATCCACTAAGCCCAAGAGCCAAGAAACAAGTTGGGCATTACTAGCAGCCCAGTCATCTTGGTCCTTTTCCGGATTTATGGTAGTGGCCAGGAGAGATTGGCCAAGCAAAATGATAAGAAGCCTACGATCTGAAACATAGCTCTGAAATTGGAATTTCAAAATAGGAAAATTCTTCCCATCAAGCTTAGCAGAAACAACATTTGTCTTCTCTGAATCCATTTTGTCTAGCAAAAGAAACACAAAAGGAAACAATAACCCACAAGGGAGTACGAGACAGGTAGGACATCACATGAATAAGGACAAAAACCACGTACGATAATAGAGAAAATCGCCAAATGGAAGAATAAACCAATGGAAAGAAAGCGCCAAAAGAAGACAGGCTACCTGAAGAGAATGCTGAATAAAGAACCCGTTGGAAAGAAGGTGGAGCATGGGCACCAAAAAGAAGCACCAAACGAGAACCAAAAATCAGCTAGGCACGCGAAGGAAGAAGCCCTGAAGAGAAAATAGAGGCACTGAACAAACCCTAGCACAAAATCAAGTCACGCACCAGAAAAACCCAGCCGAACGAAGAATGTTGAAAAAGGAAAATTACGGAACCTCATATCACAGGCTCTGATACCATCTCATAGATTACTGAAAAATAAAGAACACCAAGATTTTTCAACATGGTTTCGTCACTGTGACACTAGTCCACGGTGAGGATCTCCCTCATAGGTTGTAGGATTTTTCTTATTACTTGATACTCTTCTTCATATGTTACATGAGTATATATAGATTTGCCAACCTAACCCAGCCGTATCCTACAAGGGATAATTACATATTGGTACATTAATAATATAATTCACATAAGGATGACGCCACCTTTGTGTTTGCTTACTACAAGGATGGTGCTGCCAACCCTGCATTTTTGTACATCCCTCATGCCTTGAAGGAGATCAAGTGCTAGAAAGAGAGAGATCTGGATAGTGGCACTTAGAAGTTAAACTAAACTTCATTTGCTCTTGGTAAAGTTTTTGTTGTTATTTGTCCCGTCTTCTTTTCACCCTTATGTATTTATAGACTCAGTTTCAGCTTTTTGTTATGCGTATTTCATTTTTGGAACTTGGAAACTTAGGTTCAACGGATATTGAGGATAGTTATGGTTTGGTGTGACACATAAAGTATGTAAGAGTGTGATATAAGATCCATAATTAGCATTCTCCTAACAATTCAAGTTACTAGGACAAGTTGGTTTATGCATGGTATCAGAGCCTTCTGTGACTAAAAAGTCTCATGTTTGAATCCTGGTAATGTTTTGTTAAGCACATGGTCTTTGGACATGTGCCTGTACAAATTCCAATCCTATCTGAGGGGTTGAGTTAGTAAATGGTATATGGTCCAAAATTTAATCTCTCCCAATAACTCGAGTTATTGGGACCAACTGGTTTTTGACATGATATCAGATCTGGTTTGGCTAAATAGTCGTGTGTTCGAATCTCCATGACCCCCAATATAACAGTTGATTTAAGCATAATGTATGGTGGGACTATGCAAATTTCAAGCCCGTGAGTTGCCTTGTGTTTGAGAGGGTGTGTAAGATGGCGATATAAGATCCATAATTAACCTTCTCCCAACAACTCGAGTTATTGGGACAAGTTGGTTTATGACATGGTATCAGAGCTTTGTGTGTCTAAAATGTCTCTTGTTCGAATCTTGGTAACCCTCATCTGTTTTGTTAAGCACATGGTGACTAGAATTGTGCCTATGCAAACTCCAAGCCTATTCTAAACTTGACAATCCAAGCAAGCTATGCACTATACACTCTGATTAGCACGATTATGTACCCTTCTCCTAAATTGACAGAGAGGCTTTAATGATTCAACCATCATCCCATCTTAGGACTCTCCCACTGCCATTTTTGACCGAGCCATTCGTGTTGAAAATGATCCAAGCCTTCGAAGGAGAAAACCATGAGATGAAATTCCTACTCCAGGTGCTACCAATGTAGAAAAGGTTGAATCCTTCCTCATGGCCTCCTGAATTTGTTGTAGCAAATGTACTGCCCTACCATCCAACTTGGTGGGCGGGGTAATTAATTAAAGTGCACTTCAAACGAGGTTTAGGCGGCCATGGAAGTTTGAGAATATGTGGCTTAGGGATGAGCGCTTCTTTAGTAGTTTGGATGATTGGATGCTCTTACCTGTTTCAGGGATTGGGAATGTGTTTCGTTGGACTAGAAGATTGCATCACTTAAAAGGTATGATCAAAATCTGGAACAAGAATGTATTTGGGAATGTTAACAGAAGGATCGATGGGCATCTGAGGAGGATTCAGGAGCTGGATACCGGAGAGGAGGTGAGATCACTTTCGGACGAGGAGAAAATTGAGAGGGAAGTAAGAAGAAGTGAATTGGGAAATGACTTAGACCTGTTGGAGATGTCTTGGAGGCAGAAGTCTCATGAGCTGTGGCTACAAAAGGGTGATAGAAATTCCGATTATTTTCATCGTATGGCTAACTTTAAGCTCAAAGTCAATCTGATTGAGGGCATCCATGTTAATGGAGTGTTCTTTGATGGAAGAGACAACTTGGCTGAAGGCATTGTCGAGTACTATAGTAACCTGCTATTGGAAGATCATGTTCTCCGACCTTTTCCTAAGGAGTATTCGGATCATGCTTTGAATTCTGGGGAGGCTGAGATCCTTATTCAGCCTTTTTCGGAAGTGAGGTGTGGAATGTTATCAAGTCTTGCAATGGCTGGAAAGCACCTGGACCTGACGGTTTTAGCATTGATTTCTATAAGAAATTTTGAGATAGGATTAAAGGGGAGGTTATGCTCGCTTTTCAAGATTTCTATGATAATGGTTATCTCCCGAAGAGTGCGTCTCATTACTTTATCTATTTAGCTCTGAAGAAAGATTCGGTGGAGGATGTGCGTGATCTGTGGCTTATTAGCTTGATGTGGAGCCTTAATTAGATTTTGAGTAAGGTACTTATGGGGAGGATGAGGTCGGTCCTTCCTCGCTTGGTTTCTGGGCATCAACATGCGGCAGTTAAGGGTTTCCAAATTTCTAAGGCTAGTTTGATTGCGAATGAGCTCATCGACAGTAGGAAAAAAAGCAGAAGACCTGGGTTATTGTTTAAATTGGATGTGGAGAAGGCTTTTGATAGAGTCAATTGGGGATGTCTCTTCAAAGTACTTTCTTCTCTTGGGTTTCCACCTAAGTGGCAGCAGTGGATTCGGGGTGTTATGTGCTCTTCGATGATTTCCATTCTCATCAATGATGAATCCAAAGGTTTCTTTCCGGCTGCCAAGGGTTTGAGGCAGGGTGACTCCCTTTCTTCGGGATTGTTTGCTTCAGTTATGGACCTTTTCTCGTTTATCATTGATAGACTCTCTCGGAATGGCAAGATTACAGGTTTCCATATGGATGAAGGAGGGTCTAGAGGGCTGGTTTCTCATTTTCTCTTCGCGGACGACAATCTTGTGTTCTATGATGCTGATTCGGGTAAGGTTCTTAATTTACTTGTGGGGGTCGTGTGTTTTCAATCGATTACAGGACTCCGTATCAACCTGGAAAAATCTATGATGTTCGTTATTGGAGATGTTTCGGAGCCTCAATATTTTGCTGATATTTTTGGGTGTAGCTGGAGCAAGGATCCGAGCAAATATTTGGGTTTTCCGCATGGAGCCAGACCCAATGTTGTTTCTATCTAGGATCTGGTTATTAGTAAGAGCGAGCAACGATTAGCTGGTTTGGTGAGCAGGTTCCTTTCCTTTGGATCTAGGATCACACTTATTAAATCCCGCTTATTCAGCCAAGCGGTTTATTTGTGTTCTCTGTTTCGAGCTACTAAGGCTGTGATTAATCGGGTGGAAAAAATCAAGCGCAACTTCTTGTGGAATGGTACTAAGGAGACTAGGAAGTTTCATCTAGTCAATTGGGAGCTCTGTAAAACTCCTAGAAGTTGCGGGAGTTTGGGCATTTTAGACTTCAATTGTTTTAACAGCACGATGCTTGGGAAATGGGTGTGGAAGTATGCGATGGAAAGGGAGAGTTGGTGGAGGAAGCTTATTGAAGTGAAGTATGCTAGCAGGAAATCTGAGTGGTTTTGCACTCTTTTTGTGGGAGGGGTGAAGAGCTCGACTTGGGCCAATGTGGCTACAGTCCATAACGATGTCTGGGACCATGTTTATGTTGATCCGGGGGGTAGAGCTGGGGTCTCGTTTTGGAATGACAAATTTATTCCTGGGATCGTCCTCGCAGATTCCTTTCCCCGCGCTGCTATCGTTGCCTCGTCCCAGGGAGCTTGCTTATCTGACGTCGCAAAAACCTTCAGTGATAGGGTAATTTGGAATATTCATTTCCTTAGTGTTTTGCAGGGAGGGGTTGAGAGAGAGAGAGAGAGAGAGAGAGAGAGAGAGAGAGAGAGAGAGAGAGAGAGAGAGTGGCCCTCTTTGGTTTACTTAATTCTATTGATATCTCTTCTATTAGGGAGGGTCCTTGCAGAGTTTTCTGGGCTCCAAACCCAGGGTCTACCTTTTCTGTTAGATCTCTTTACAGATGCTTAGGGAAAGGAGGATGCAAGGAGAAATAGATTTCCCGGTTGCTGCGATATGGAAAGAGGTGGTTCCTCCTAAAGATTGCAGCTTCTTGTGGCTTGTTTATAATAGAAGAATCCTTACGCTGGACAACCTCAAGAAGCGGGGATGGAAGCTTGCTAACAGGTGTGAGCTGTGTGGATGCAATGAAGAAACTATTGACCATTTGGTTACTTAGTGTGCGTTTACTGCTGAGATTTGGGGAAGACTTTTGTCTGTCCTCAGTTTGGGTGTTGTTCGATAGGGCGTGTAACATCCCGTTTCAGCTAAAATCGTATTTCGATCGCTAGAAAGTTCGCGATTTAAAATCGAGCATTTCGACACTATTTCGACGAAAATCGGATTATCGATCGATCGGATAAGTATACGTATTAAATATATATATTATATAATAAAAAATATATATATATATATATATATATAAATGCGGTCGACATATAATTCCCGTCACTTTCTTTCCAATTCTCATCATCATTTTCCATTTCCCCACCGAGAGTAAACGGAGAAGCAGAGCATCACGCAGAGCTCCGGGGAAAACGTTCGGTAGCTCGATTCTTGAGCATAAGTGATCCAAAAATCCCGTAAGTAATGCCTAATTCATCTATACATCGTGTTTTATCGATTTAGAGCTTTAAAACGAGTTTTTGGTTCAGGAATTTCTTGAATTCCCGATCTGCCAAATTAGGGTTTCGGAGTATCCGGAAGCCGGATTGAGCCCAAATTTCATATACGAGCTTCCTGCAGCGAGGTAATCAATCCTCTAGTTCTAATCCCTGAATTTCGGCTATTATTTAGGCCGGGGTCCAAACCGCTGGATTTAGCTCCGGCCAGGGTTTGATGTGTTTTTATCGAGAATTTGACCCGGAGCCTAGAACTAATATTGACGGGGATACTGCAGGGGATATTAGGAAGGTCTCGGATTTTAATTCGGGGTTCGTTCGAGAAATTGACGTTTTAGTACGGGAAGGTTAAACAGGTGTTTGAACGACCAGAACTGGTGAGGGATTAGCACGGCATACCGGGTTTGTCGTATCACGATAATTATATTGATGCTTAGAATTGATCTAGGTGAACTAGAATGGCATGATTAGGGGTGTATGAACTTTTGTGCTATATGTTGAACCCTGGATTGCTGTATGATATTATTGACTTCCCCTAATCGATATGAACCTTGTTTATGCTGATGATGGTGTATATGTTGCAAATTGTGGACTTGACTGTTGATATGCCTTATGATGGTTCGGAAAGGTGATTGGGTATGATTTTTCATGATTGTTGTATTTGGATGCACAAGTGGGAAAATATATATTTTCCCTGGTGATATTATGATGTTTTAAGGAGGATGACTTGCACGAGGGTTTATCCCGAGGAAGTGCAATTATACGACTCCTGGTTATGTTGAGCCAATTGTGGCCAGGTCAAGAACATGTTCAAGTAACAAA